CGCGTGGTGATTAACGCTCGTCACGAATTGATCTTGATACGATCGCGCAACGACAACAATTGTCTGCTTGGAAGTTCGGTGCAGGAGCCTGTGATCGACATATTCAAGATACAATGGCGAATGCCTCACGTGCTGTTGAGCGAAATCAAAAGTTGTTCGATGCTGCGTGCTCTGGAAAGCGCGACGATATCTCAGCATGGCTTTTCGCTCGTGGGATCTGTACGAGTATCCGCTATTGCAGTTTACAACCAAGCATTCGTGGGCCATTAAGACTGCGACTCAGCTGGAGAAACCACGATATGTTATCTTCGCTCTGCAGACAGGTCGGAAGAATGACATGTCTAAGGATGTGGGTGCATTCGACGACTGCAATTTGATCAACGTGAAACTCTATCTGAATTCGGAATATTATCCGTACGACGATATGAATCTGGATTTCGAAAAAAGTAGATATGCCATTCTGTATGAAACATACGCACGCTTCTGCCAGAATTATTACGGACACGAGTATCTCGAGCCGAGTCTCACCGTCCTGAAGTTTCTACAACACGGTCCGTTTATGATTATCGATTGTTCTCGACAAAACGAATCGGTCAAGAGCGCGACCGTGGATGTGAGATTGGAATTCGAGTGTAAGGAGAACGTGCCGCCGAATACCACTGCGTACTGTCTCATCATACACGATCGCATGATCCAGTACAATCCGTTGACCAACGTTGTACGCAAACTCACCTAGGCGACACAAGAGAGAGGGGGAAGAGGAGCATGATATAAATCGAAGTTTTGCGAGATGGTTTTAGAGTTTTGTCATTCCTCTCGACTGGCGTATCAAAGAGAGATCTCATCATGTCCGTAGCAACGTTTGTGGATCTGCAAGGATTTATCGTTGGGAAAAATTTTGTCGTGAAGGAAGCGGCAGTCTTGAGAAAGGGATACGTTCTATCGCATTACTTTTTCGCAAGTCCCGTACCGTGGAGCGTGCTTACAAAAATCTGAGCGATTCAAGTCTCATGGCTGATTAGAAATCATCTGGATTACAATGGGAAGACGGAAACGTTCCGTATGATTTGGCTCAGCGTGTAATTACAACAGCTATCGTTGGTACGATGCACGAAGAAGAAGAAGAAGAATCATCTGTCATATACGTTAAAGGACTTGAAAAGCGAAAATGGTTGACCGATATACTAGACGATGCGAGGAATGGCTATATTATTGAAACCTTGGATGCAGATTACGAAAGATATTGATGCTTTAAATAAATTAGATATTATCAATAGTATGCGATGTGGAAAACATGTTAAGAATTACGCATTACAAAATGTATTTAAAATATTTAACTGGTGGTCGCAACGCCAGAAAGAATTGCAAGAAAATAAAACAAATATGTAAACATTAATATGTGTTTTATCTCTTATTTCCCCCTCCCTAGACCTTTCCTTGCGTTTCTAAGAATATTTTATCTGAGCGTTATTTCATCCTTCTCCTAAAATTCAAAGCGTTAGAAGCATTGATCCCCCCACCACATTATACTTTTGGAAGATGAGCGTCACGTATACCCGGTTAATTCGATCAGTCTCGCATCCAGTAACCGCTCGTGTTTCACTTTTCATAACCTTCAAAGAAATGTACTACGTCGAAAGAAGCAGTAGCGGCAGCGACGTCGGAAGACGCGTGAATAATAATTACGTGCCGAGTCGTAATAAAACTTCATCGTTTGAGAATAAATGTGACGAGTAAGTTTCATTTAACTTTTTTCTATTTTTATAATTTTATTACTATTATTTAATTTTAATTTTTCTATAGCATTTCGTTGGAGCGTCGTGCGACTCGTTATACTAGGTAGATGATACGCATTGACAGCTACGGAATTCAAATTCCTCGAAATTGGTATCAACGTGGGTCCACCGAGTTACGTGGAGATTGCAATAGGAGATCATCGAGGAAAGGAACTGATATTATCTCTCGAAACATGGAAAGGACTCTACGAGCAACGTCGCAATATTCAAAATTTACTTCGGAACGACTCTAAAGATGACTACAATTTCATAAGCGTTGGACCGCTAACAGTGAGAGTTCGTACGATTAATGACGTCAAACTCATAAGTCTCGAATCTTCGGATGTACGCATGATGATGGTCGAATCGACGTTACATCGTATGTTCGATCTCGATCAATGCATAGATGTAACTTTTGATCGATTAGATAAAATTATCCAAACAGTTGATGTTAAATTTACGCAATTCTGCAATATCGCGTCCACTGTAACGGATTCGAAAGAAGTATCATATGTAATACGCGCGAGTGATGTTTTCAACAAGCATCAACTTGTCGATTGCGAACTGGCAGCTTTAACTTTTAATTCTTAATATGTAAGACAAAAATTATATTTGTATACTAAATATATAAGCAGAATAAATAGTTATAAATCTATATTATGGTGTACTTTCTTTGCGTTTTGGCGTGCTCTCCCGTCCCAGCTTTTATGCATAGCTCCTTGCGAGAGAATTATCATGAGAGAGTAAACACTAGGAAAGAAAGAGACAGAAGGAGTGATACGGCGCACGTGAGAGAAGAGATATCACGCAATGAAATTATTTTTGATAATTTAATATAATTTTTTAATAGTTTTCTTATAATTTAGTAATAAATGGAGCAATGAAAAGAGAGGGGGAGAGAGGAATTTGGAAAATAAATCAGATTTTTTTTTATATTAATTAATTAATTTTTAATAAAGAAAATAAAATGTGTATTATATACATAGTGTGCAAAAGAATTTAAAATATACAAAATATAAATGTGTATTATATACATAGTGTGCAAAAGAAATTTAAAGAATTTAAAATATAAATGTATATTATATAAAGTGTGTAAAAAAAAGATACTGTAAGAAAATTTAAAAGAATTTAAAATATAAATGTGTAAAAGATAATGTATGAACAAAATTTAAAAGAAGTTAAATATACAATGTATACATTATATAATATATATAATACAATTATAAAAGTATAAAAAAGAATACAAAATATAAATGATTAATATATAATTGAATAATATAATATAATAGAAGGGCGATGGCGACGACGATATGGTGGGAGTGGTGGGGCGGCCGGTGGAAGAGTGGTGACTCTTTCTGCACATAAAAAAAATTTATTAATTATTTGAATAATTTTGAAAATAAATACCTACACATGCGACCTACCTCCAATTATTGATCAGCATCCATATCAGAATCCGAATCAGAATCATAACTGATCATATATTCAAGATAGTTATGCTGATGGATTCCTCGCATCCTTTCGGAACACGCTTCTCGATTTCCACCTGGCAAACAGCAATCTCGGCAAATGGCTGCCTCTAATTTGTTCCTCTTTCTAATCCGTATATCTCTCTTTTTAATCTTTATATACGATTTTAGATGGGAAGTCGCGATTGGAGAATTTCTTCCGCCAAGTTCCCGATTTCTTAAATATTCCACCACCGACATGTTCATTAATTTTTTATTCCGTTGCTCGCACACTTTAGTCTTATTCACTTTTTTAATGTTTTTTTTCACAACGTGCATTGTGGACACTTTTTTTAATGTTTTTTTTTCACGACGTGCATTGTGGACACATATTGCACGGAAATGTTAGATATAATGGATCTCTGCAATTGGAGCAGTATCGTCCATCCGTTGCATCCAATGTCTGAATTACATGTTTTCGTACGGCATACATCATTTGGGCGTCTACACCTTGCAGCCTAATCATGCAGGACGCACATACTGCTAAAGCGCCGCCAGTCGAGTAATAAAAGAATATCGTGCAATATTTTTTTTGTCCGCTTAATGCATTAATTTCTGCGATAGATACTATTTTTGCTCTGACTAGTGCAGAGTCACTATCCTCACTGCAGTCACTAATACAGTCACTGTCGGACGACAACACGTGATCTTTGTCTTCGTTTTCCATTTTATATATTATCACACAATATATCACACTTTCTAACAGAACACTGTACTTTTTGAGAGAACACTTTCTGAGAGAACACTTTTGTTACCGACGTGTCGATGCGCTTTCAAATCACGTACTATGATCTGATGCGCTTCAATCCTTATATTCGACTAACAAACTTTCAGAGATTGTCGGGGACAAAAATTTTTTTGCAAATGTACCTATCGTAGGAAATGCGCTATTATATTACGTCGATACACAGATTGCTTGAAAAGGTTGGACCGAAATATCTAAAAAATATAAGTTTATGAAATAAAGTTATTAAAAATATATATAAGGGTATAAAAGGTTTTTTACAATATCCCATTTGCAAAAAAAAAATTTTTTGTCCCCCTGATAATGTCTGAAAGCTTGTCCGCTTAATCTCTATTGTTCATACGTCGAACGGAAAAAAAACCTAGAATTTTTTATATTAGGGGTGTACCTCGAGAGTACAAAGCAGCCGAAGATCGGCGCTGATATGTAAACGGGGGGAGCGGGGGGAGACAAAGCAGTCGAACATTGGCGTTGTTAAAATTTTCCTTAAAAAATAAAATAAAAAATAAAATAAAATAAAATAAGATGATAAAATAAAATAAAATAAGATGATAAAAAATGATTTTTTTGGTTAGGCCCAAAATCATCTTCAAAAGAATATCGCCCTTTTTTTTGTTTATGCATGTCATAAAACATCCAACACGTGCATCCCCCACCCCGCAATCCCCGCGTGACGTCATACCCCGCTCCGCTGAGATCCCTCGCACCTCATCTCCCCTGAGAGGACCTGAGTTAGAACCCGCCTAGTACTAACTACTCATAGTCAATAAATAATTAATAATTTGTATTTGTCTAATATTTTTCTACATTATTTTTATTTATGTTTCAGTTATGGAAGCTGAACTAAAAAAGAAATATTGTAATGTTACTCGTCAAATAATAAATTTTTTTCTGTCTTTGTATGAACAGTGTCAACTGAAGAAAAAGATACCAAAACATGGATTAGTTGTACAACTTATTTTATCTGACTACATGAACTCTCGATGTCAACTGGACTTGACTGACATGCAGTCAGAGCCAGATAAAGATTATCGATTCATTATGAGTTATCAAGATCATTTAACCAAATTCACAATTCTTCGTCCTCTTAAGACGAAGACTGCCGAGGAAGTGGCCTACCAACTCATAGACATATTTTGTTTATTCGGTGCCCCATGTATACTTCAAAGCGACAATGGTCGTGAATTCGTAAATAAAATAATTAAAAGTTTGGTCGATATGTGGCCTGGAATGAAGCTTGTTAATGGTAAACCGCGACATTCTCAGAGTCAGGGTTCGGTTGAAAGGTCGAACCAAGATATTCGTGACATGCTGGTAGCGTAGATGGCTGACAATAATACGGAAAAATGGTCTGAAGGACTCCAATTTATTCAAAGTAAGAAGAATCGAGCTCTCCATTCGGTAATTAAGACAAGTCCTTATGAGGCTATATTTGGATCAGCGCAAAAGATCGGACTTGCGGATTCCTCTCTTTCCAGTGACATGTATTCTTCTATAGAAACTGAAGAAGAATTGGAACAACTTCTTTCTTCGAACAATGATCAAGATAAGACTGATGAAGAAGAAGTTAACGAACAATCTAGTGAAGATAAAAATATACCTCAAGTTGGAGAGGTTACACAAGAATAAAAAAAAAAAGATGACAGCAAAATTTATTGTGTGATTTGTGAAAACGAAACTTCAGGAGCTTACAAGTGTTCAGGATGTCATCAATTTATTTACGTTATTTGCGGAGAAAGTGATGAGAATAATGAGGGTTTCGGACAGAACGTTACTTGCAAGCTCTGTATAAGGAAGAACAGTATCAGCGTTGAGAGAGAATGTGCTAAATCTGGTCAAAAACAACAAGCACAAAAATGATTTCATTTTCTAATTCAAAATTTCCTAAAGTTGATATTCGAACTAGTGTAGCGGTCAGAGTGCCTGACGTTGATAAAGGACGCGCAGCTCCCAGAAATGTCTTAACTGTTGTTGCCGGAATTAATTCATCAGGACTTTATCAATTAGGTACCAAAGAAGGGCTCCTTGAGCGATTTTATGCTCGCAATGAATTTATAGTTGCTGAGAGCAACTTTATTGAACTGCAAGACGTACTTCACTAACTCTTCGTTCAGCTTCTATGTTGTCATCTGGAAGTAAGCAAGGTTTTATAAGCTGCCACTGTAAAAGATACTGCATTGACAAAAAATGCAAATGTCTCTCTAAAAATATAAAGTGCAATTCCAAATGTCAGTAATAGTTCTTGCAAAAATAAATAATTTATTAATAATTCCCACAAAGGGACCAATATATATTATGAACAATGTTTATTATTAGAAAAATACTAATTAATGAAGATTTCTATTACAAAATCTTCTTTGATTAAAAGAGCCATAGTATTAATAAAGATAACTGTATTTTCTTTTACAGTCAAAAAGACAATTTGTTTTATTTTAATTGAATTAACGTCAATTGTTATAACAAAATAACGTCATTTATTTTATTTTATGAATCCTTGATACTTACGTATGAAAAAAAGTATTGTAGATTTTAGTCAAATAAAAAAATTTATTTGTAAATGATTTTGTGAATTGGCAAATTTGTTTTTAATAAAAGAACTCTCACAAAGAGAGCAACTCTAAACAGTATTTTATATTATTATTAATAAAAAATACTGATGAATGAAAACTTCTATCACAGAAACTTAATTGTGTCACGGGCTGATTTCCGCGCGATTTTGTTAAGAGATTAGCGGGATCGGAAATCCGGGTTCGAGGTTTCGCAATAAGCGAGAGCGTGTGTAAAAGAATGAAAGAAACAAGTTTTATTGAATGCTTGTGATACAGTATGTATGTATGTGCGCGTGTTGGGGCGCGGGTGCGCGTAGATATGAATGCAAACGCGTGCAATTAGGCGTGAGCGCGATCTTCGGCGCGAGGCGCTAAGTTTTATTGTTTACAAATTAAAATCGTGCACGTCGTAGCGTGCCGCGAGAGATTTTATTAAAGCTGAAACGATGGAGTATAATAATGTGTATATCGGAGATACGATGTGTCGATTGTATTAATACCTTTAAATGGTATATATACGGCGTGTTGTTGTGGTCCGGGCGCGGTCAATGACCGTAGACGCGGCGCGTATTGTGTTTTTGTGCCCGTACGCCGGGGAAAGCCCTGTTTTTCGTGCGCTTTGTACTATGCACGCGATTCCACGAATTTGATAGACGCGGTTTCGTGGAATCTTAACTTATCAGTCCCGTGCGGTTGGATTTTCGGGATCCCAGTGCCAGCGAGAGCGACTCGTCCGAGGCAGCTCTATTCTCTACCCCGTGAGAATGCACTTGCGTTATGGTGGTCGGTTTTAGACCGGTAGTCGAGATCTCTCGACAGAATCGGAGTTCTCTCTGATCCTTTTGTTTCTTGGTCGATGGTATCGAGATCGGATGGAATGATCTGGCTTTGTAGATCGAGAGCACTCGATGGAGGCAGAGTTCACTCTACCTCCTGGTTTTTAAAAGCGAGATTTAATTTTCGGAGCGGTCTAGGTTTCGGAGCTGCTACTCTTTGCTGAGAGCGGATCGGAAAAAGGTACTTATTACACCGAACAGGCCCTTTTTATACCGGCCTAATTGCCCGCGCCGGCGCGCGGCGGTATTACGCCTTCCAAACGGGTTACGGGAAGCGGTACGGTCGGCGGCCCGCTCGGAGGGGTTCGGGGTGCGCACCGAGCGCGGGTTTTTTTTCGCCGGTCCGGATCGAGGCCCGTCGGCAACGCTCGGCGGTATTCGGGTTGTTTTTAATAATTTAAAAATGTGGGCGCACCGCGCCCCTGCCTCTGCCCGGCGGATGTTCTGCCGGGCGACAGCTTCCGGCGGAAGCCGGAATCTTCGCCCGCATCGCATGCCGGGAATATATTACATCTAAGGGGGTGCACGGGGTGCATCGTTACATCACCCCCCCCTTAGATTTGTGCCTGAATTTGAGGCACACTTGACGCTCGATGTACGGAGCGGTGGATCGAACGGTTGGTCGGTTGGTCGGACATCTGGATCTAGAATGGGATGGACGGAATCTAGCTTATTTTGCGCTTATAGCGCAAGTTTCCGTCCCCGGAAAAACGGAGTATCCAGCGTCCCTGCGGAGTACTTGGTTTATATCGCCGGCTGACATGTACCGCGAAGTGCGGTACCTCCAGACCGGGCTCGATCTCTACCTTGGTGGAGCTGTCAAGGGTCCCATCGGTCGGAGGATCTCCGGTGGCGGTTCGGCTGCGGTTTTTGGAAGCGGCCTCGGCTGTTTTTCGTAAGGCCGGCTCGGCTACGCCCAGGTGGTGGCGGCGGTTGGGCCAAGAGCATCAGCCGTTTCTGCTCGTTGACCCGGTCGGACCTCTGGATGGTCGTTCCGACCCTCGGCGACCGCGTTGGTGGCGGCTGCTCTTGCGGCTCTGGTGGCGGAGCCGGCGGCGCGGGCTGCGCCTCGGTGGCGGAGGATTCGCCCAGATATTCCTCTATTGCTGCTAGGATATCTTCGTTGTTCGACATGTCGACTTGAAGTGAACCGTTGCTTCGAATTACACGTCGTCATCCTCGCTATCGTTATTGTCGCTGTTGTTATTATTGTTGTCCTCGTCCTCTGAGTCTGTTTTTGCTGATTTCAAATCCTGTATATGGACGTGTTTCAGCCATTTTCCTCGCCTGCTCCGAAGATCCACGATCACAGGCGATATTACCCGACGTACTTCGTAAGGCCCGCTATATTTCGGCGCGAGTTTCGCGTTGAAATTATCCGCTTTTTTCGACAGTCGATGATCTTTCTTTCACACCCATTCACCAATGCGCGGTTTCCAGGTCCTCCTTCTCAAATCGTAGTAGTGTTTCTGCTTTTCGAAGGCTCTGGCGAGATTGATTTTGACGAGCTCGTTAGCTTCCTCCAGCTATTTCTTAATTGTTTCTGGAGCTGGTGTTGGACTGTTCGTCGGCCACAGGCGATATTAATTCACGGCCACAGTTTAAGAATGCTGGTGTGTATCCTGTTGCGTCGTGTACGGCCGTGTTATACGCGAATTGTAATGCGTTTATCTTCTCGTCCCATGCTTTCTGATCCTCTTCTGACGTACTGGCTCACCATTGTTTTTATTGAGCGGTTGGTCCTTTCTACCGGATTGCAGTGAGGCGCATATGCCGGGGTGGTTATGTGCTTGATGTTGCACTCCCTTAGTCTCTCCTCCAGTTGTCGAGATCGAAGTTGTGTTCCGTTATCTGACAGAATGCTTTCTGGCTTGCCGTGTCGCATAATGATATTGCTCGTGACGGCTTGTGTGACGGCGTCGGCCGTGGCTCGGCGCAGCGGTGCAAGTTCGGTCCATTTTGAAAAGCGGTCCTGCATGACCAGCAGCCAAGTATGCCCTTTCTTGGATCTCGGTAATGGACCAATTAAATCGATGCAGATCTGCTGCCATGGTCTATTCGTTTCGGTTGCGTGCAGCTTTCCCGGTGGTTTCTCTTGCGCTGCTTTGTGACTTTGGCAATTTTTGCAATTTCGTACGTACTTTGTTATGTCCCGGAACATGCCTGGCCAATAGTAACCCTCGGCAATCCTCGCGATTGTTTTCGCGATGCCGAGGTGTCCGGCTGTTGGTTCGTCGTGATATTTCTGCATGACCTTTTGCCGTATCGGTGTCGGGACGCACAGCTTCCACTGGTCGCTGCTGCTTATCTCCTTGAAGTTCAGCGTGTGTAGGATGTGTCGGTTCAATTTCCCTTCCTTCATCCTGTATTCTGGTCTGGTGGCTGGATCCTGTTCTGTTTCTTCCCGCATTCGGTCGTACCAGCGGCACTTCTTCCGTTCGATAGCGCGTACTTCCGGGTATCGTGATAACGCATCAGCCACGCGATTTTGTACCCCCCGGCGGTACTTGATGTCGAATTCAAATTGTTGTAGCTCGAATACCCAGCGTCCGAGTCGTCCGGTCGGAGATTCTAACTTTTGTAACCATTTCAGGGCCTGGTGATCGGTTATGACCGTAAAGGCATAGTGTTCGCGAATGAAAGAGTTTGAGCGGAAAGCGCGTTCCGAAGAATTTTTCGACAGGACACCACACACTTGTATGCAGCGATAAGACACGACACGTATATTTTTGTATTTTTTATGAAGTTTTATTTTAACGAAACACAATAAAATAAAGAAAGTTTTACACAAAATATACTTGGTTTCAGACACTGATGCGAAGCGAGAAAATCGAAAAGTCCGAGTGAGAAAGCGGTCGTGTATGAGAAGCGGTTGTACGAAGCGGTTTTACAGTGCAAGCGGTTTAGCGGAAAAGTGCGAGACTTTGACTGTGTGGGG